CGTGCAATGACGGCAAAGAAGTCTGCGAGATAGTGTGCTGCATGTTCAGTGTTTTTGCTGTGCTTATTAACCTGTTGCTTTTTTAATTATTATTTTCTCGTTTCCGTCGTCGTTTTGGATGCGCTGAGCTCGCTAGTAGCACTTAATGCCACTCAAAACAATTCTTAACATGCGACGACTTCGCATGAAAAACTGACGATGTCATCGAAGACAAGCGCCGAAATAGACGTCCACAGGTACCCATACCTTGGCTCTATATTTAGTTAGCTTAAATTTACGATGTGTGCATGTAGTTTGATTTTATCCGCGCTAGTTTTTACTTGTTCATGTATTACAAAACCTTCAATTATTACTCTGCAAATTATATACCCTTTGAAAATAGTGTAATCACAGAATTGAAAACAATGATAATCTTGGCGGAACGGAGAGATTTCTACGTCGCAACTTCGACATAGCATGCATGATTTGCGTTCAAGAACTAGAACGGGACAGCCGACACGATCAGCAAGATGGCTGAACTCGCCCCAGTGTAAGGATATGTAAGACAGTCTAAGATTTTGGGTTACACGCGGTGGATTCGTGAATCTGCATTCCGAAATTTCCCGTATTCCGGAATCTGGACTCCCTTAAATGGAGCGACTGAACTCATAAGGATATCTTAAAACCAAAGGTTAATGGAAATAAGAGAGATAAAAGAGAAATAACTATCGACGACTTAAATTTCCCAGGGCATTGCAATGATCAGTCTGACATAATAAAATGTAGTTTGAGGCAACTGAGTATTGCGTCTTTTTTGCGTTCAAATTGTTGTTCAGTACCCGATATTTATTATTTATTCAACCTCCTCACCCCACCCACCCCCACCCCACCTCAAACTCAACACTACAATCTCTAACTCATTCATCANTTCTCGCGCTCTGCTATCCCTGAGGATAAATGAGGACTACTTCTGGTCTAAAGCCTGGCTTAATGTTTTCGTCTTTTTTTATTTTTTTCTTTGTTTTGATTTGTTTTATTTTGTCGTTTCATTCAATGCGTACCTGTACGAAAACTATGACTTCAGCTCTTTGCCCATCTTGAACAGAAGTTAATCAAAGGCTCCTGTAAGCCTGCCCATTGGATAAGTATGCGACCTATGATGAACAACTTAAATAATATAAAATATATATCATTGTAAGTTGAAAAACCGCGGTTTATGGGGTTGAGAAGTTGCTTATTATTTTTTACACCCACACAAAACAACTACAGAAAGAAAAAAAAAAAAAAAACTTAGGTAACACCCAATATCCCGAGCGGACTAGGAACCCATCCTGAGACGGGTTATACGAATAACTTTAGATTTCCCTTCAAATCACGACAGGGGCGGGAAGGGGAAAAAGGCACCATTTTTTCTTTTTTTACCAGAACACGCTACCGAGTCCTAAAAGACGACCACAGGACTAAACCCTTTAAACGTTAACCCTCGAACACGCTGTAGAACACTTAAGTCTAATCACACGGCCAATTTCTTTCAAAGGTCGGACATATGATTAAACACTTCCCAAGGTCGAACATTCCACCGGACTCTTTCTGAGGTCGAACACGCGACTAAAACCCCTGTTTCTGCAGCCGTCAACACACGAGCAAACACTTCCTCAGGTCGAGCACACGACAAAAATCCACAAAAACCAAATCGTTCTCAGGTTCAATTCACGACCAAACATTTCCTCAGGTCGATACACAAATAAAAATCTATTAAGTGGAACAAACAACTCCAAAATGCTTCTCGGTTCTAATACGGCAGGTCAAGAAACGAGCGAACCAAATACATAGTCAAGAAAAAAATGTGCGACATACAAACAGAAAATTTCGGGTAAACGTCGGCAAATGGAATTTTAAAAGCATTAAGGCTGTGATTGACTTGTTTGGAATTCTACTCAATCAGGATTTATTTCTCCTAATGGAAGATTTAAAAAAATAAAAAGATATTAGCGTCCTTGCCGGCGTTCCCTACACCACCCCCTCGCGCGTTTTTCGCGCTTCTCGAGCGCCCGGAATCCCCTCCCCTTTCCTTTCAAATGCCTGTCGCACAGGTTATTAGATACAGTCCAGAATATCGGAAATGTAAGAAGATGAATATACGAAGATGCTCGCTAAGTTTCAGGTCGGTGCAATTTTCATATGCGAAATATTATAATTAAGAGTAATATTTTACCTTAAAAGAGCCTTGTATGGAGCATGCTCGGAGACCCAGGGGCAGTCAGTCGGGCCGGGTTAAAAGGCGCGACGAAAGTTTTTAAGCATGGTCGGAAGAGCCCCTGGTTACGAACTCTCACCGAACCATTTCCAAACGGTCAAGAGAATGTTGGTTCCTGATTGGGCACAAAAAATGCTTTGTGTTATTATGCCCGATCGGCGAACAGTTTCTCCCGAGTTCTTTTCGTGAGTTTGTACTCGACGGCTATTATCTCGCCACAGTTGCCCGGTTCGTTCACCAAGCTTTCCTAACCAGAAACGAAGGAACTACCAATGAGTCGAAAAACGTTTCGGATGCTATCAGCAGGAGCAATTCAATTTACACTGAGAAAATTCTGTTTCTGACGGATCACAATGTATTCTAAATAATAGGAAGTTTAAGGGCCTGTTTACATGGAGGTGGGGGACCCCAGGTAGGTGAGGTAACCTGCTTAGGTGGTGTAACCCGCCTGTCCATATGAGCTCTCATTTTAATTTCATCACGTTTACATGATAGGTGGGGTGACCCGCCAAGGCGGGTAGCCCGGTCTACCAGACAGGGTAACCCTCTCAGCCGGGTCAAATTTTGCCATGTAAACGTTCAAGGTGGGGTAACCCGCCCAGCCGGGGTCCGATTCGTGATACATCAAATTCGCCCAAAATTCATTTTGGCGGTGGTTTTGCATCATTATTATAGGAAACAATAGAAAGCCACATCAGCACTGAAGGTTGCAGCAAGAGCAGCAAGTGAGTGTTGAAGAGAATTAATCGCCAAAACACGTGGTTTGCCAGCATATTTCTTGTTTACGTGCTTAGCGACCATTCAATAATCTTGAAAAAGTGAACCCCGGGATGGCGGGTTGTAAGATTGCATGTAAAGGAGGGTTATTGTTTTACCCCACCTAGGCGGGTTACCTCACCTACCTTGGGTCCTCCACCTCCATGTAAACAGGCCCTAAGATGAGCGGCGACGAGAAAGTAAAAAAAGGAATAGCTTGACAAGGCAAAACAACAACTTTGCACGTCCATCACGCTTTTTTTGTATATTTCTTTGCCATCACTGCACGAGTATCACGTGAAAATTCCTAATTTCACATTTTGTGAAGGACGTAAACAAACAATGACAAAATTTTCTTTCTCTTTCTGAACTTGGATATGTTTGATAGAAATACAGCTCCAGAAGAGTTGGCTTGCATTTGACAAAGTAAGTGAGTTGGAATAATCACGATAGAGACTGAAAAAAAGTGAGCTCACTCTTCATGCGACTTTTTCGTGGTTGAAAGCTGTCGTGGCATATTAAACTCCCTAATATTTGCGAAGACGTGATCGATGCAAGCGTGAATACCTGTTGTAAGCTCAAGTTGTATTTTTGGAAAAGCGTCTTTAGTTTTCGTGTAGGCAGTGGTTGTCTTTACGCTAGGCTGTTAAGTAAGACTTAAGAGCTGCTAAGTTTTACTTAACCAAAAATGCGTGTGTGAAGACCTAAGCAATATCTCAAGTAACTTTACTTTGCATCTCATTAAAACCGACTAAGCGAACTTGCGGTTTCCAAGCTTTGAGAAAGGCAAAGCATGTCAATCAATCTTAATTACGTTGCGTGGAAAAACCTGAAGTAAAAAAGATAGGTTATGTGTGAAACTTTCCTTTACTTGAAGAATTTAGAATTTACTTGTCTTGAAATATTTCTTAGCTTATTTAGGCTCTAGTGCAAAGATTACCAGTATTTTGAAATGTAGCTTTTATATCAAACTGAAAGATTCCTGACTGCGTGCATTTCTTTGGTGCATGAGCCAGACAAGCCGTGATCCAGTCAATAGCCGTCGTGTACGAACTTACGAAAAGAACTCAGGAGATGCTGTTCGCCGATTGGGCACAATAATACAAAGCATTTTTTGTGCCCAATCAGGAGCCAGCATTCGCTGGGCTTTGTATCAAACTATGTTCAAATTATGTTTAAAATCAAAAGGAATTGACCTGCTTGACAACCAGTCCCTCACTATACGGACTGTCTCTGAAGTGATTGACCTTATGGTTGCAAGTTTTCCAGGGGTACATTGTACGGGCCCCTTTATATCAAACACTGTTACCCATGGTAACCCCCAAGTCACAATTTATTCAGACGCATCCCTTACCTGTTGGGGAGGGGTCGTTAATTCCACATCAACTGGGAGGCAGTGGTCTGAGGATGAATCCAAAAACCACATCAATTTGAGATCCTGGCATGTTTCCTCACCTTGAAGGCATTCTGCTCAGATTATCAAAATTGTCATGTGAAAGCTATGATTGATAACACAACTGCCATATCATATATGAATAGCATGGGAGGTCGAAGCCTTTCGTGAAGCCAAATTACCTGGGAACTGTGGGTGTGGTGAGCACAACATGGTATGTGGTTGTCTGCATTGCACATCCTTGGGAAGAAAAATGTTTAGCAGATAAAGAGTCCAGGGAAAAACGATCAGACTCAGAATGGAAACTCACTTCTAGATTGTTTGAATGTATAATACCTCTTTGGGAAGCTCCTTCAGTAGGTCTCTTTGCCTCCAGGTTGAACTACCAGTTGACACCCTTTGTCTCCTGGAGACCTGATTCAGAGGCAATGGCTATGGAAGTTTTTTCCTTTAACCGGAAGGGACATCACTTTTATGCCTTCCCTCCATTTTCACTCATCAACAGAGGTATTCAGAAAGTAGAACAGAGAAGTTAGATTAATGGGGGTACAAGGAAAATTTCTATATATTTGGTTGATAAACAAGGTATAGACCTTGTGCTATGAACACTGTACTATGAACGCTGTGAGGTCTGCCTTATCACAGTTAGTACACATTTCCTCAGCGGTTTCATTTGGAGAACTTCCTATTGTTAAGCAGTTTCTAAAAGAAGTTTTTCAACAAAAACCTGCATTAGCAAGATACACTGTCACTTGCGACCCTTCTATGTTGTTAAACCATTTGAAGAGTTTATCCTCAGTTAAAGAATTATTACTGAAAATGTTGACGTACAAGACTGTTACCTTACTGGGAATTTTATCAGCACAGAGGTGTCAAACCCTTTATTTTTTGGACATTCCGAACATGGTGGTGAACAATTCCATCGTCAAGTTTTCGATTGGAGACCCACTAAAGCAAACCAAACCTGGTAAATATCTGCGTTACTAGTTTGTTTGTCATATATCTTAAACCGTATATGGCAGCCTGCAAAGATACTATATCTCGGTGGATAAAACCACCTTAGAACTTTCTGGAATTGATTCAAGTCGCTTTAAAGCTTATAGTATCAGGTCTGCGTCAGCCAGTGCAGCTGCAGTAGCTAAGGTTCTTGTTGACACTATTCTTCGAACGGCGGGTTGGTCAGGACATTGCACTTTGTAGAGTATTACAAGAAACCAATTCAACAATGCAACATGGAGAATTGGCAGAAGTTCTGTTGGACAGTACACGGCAAGTGTAATCTATTTGTCACTCTCTGTCAGTGAGATTTGAGCCAGTGAAGAAATAAATGTTGTGTTACCTGACATATTAGATATTTGTTATCTTTTCGCTCACAAATACCGGCTCTAAACTTCTCATGATATCCCTACACTGAATGATGACGAAATACAACTGAAAATTAAACGAAACTTACCTGTAAGTTAAAGTTTGATGGTAATTCTATTTTAGTTTAAGTTTAAGTGTTATGTTAATACAAGTGAATCAAATAAAAAAAAATAAAAAAATTGCATGACTGTAGAATAATTGGGAGAATTCCCATACAAAGAATATTCTCCAATATTAAACATACTAAAAATAGTTAAAAATTATTGAGTCATTAGGAAGTGTGAGGGATCACATGCCCACCCTTATACTACAACCCACCCGATTTTACATGTAATCTTTTGTATTTGTTCGCCTTTAAAAGTTGATTCCTGGGATAGTATTGTACAATCTCATGCGATCCCTTATACTTCAACGTGCGGGTATGTTTCGTTTAATTTTCCTGCAATTAAAGCAAAATCTCCCGGATCATGCTCCAGGGGCACACTCCGAGAGCAAAGCTCCTCCGTGTGTACCAACGATTTCATGGGTATACTTCATCCTCGGGAGCAGAATTTCCACCCCGCAAAATGCTTCACGATATTCAACCGGTTAAATATTTGGGAGCAGGCTCCCGGGGCAAATTGAGCGAACTTGAAAACGCTCCTTCGTGTGTAATGACACGTGCAAAATGAGCCTGAAGCATGTTCCGGGAGCAAAACCCCTTGTGTGTATCGGCCTTCTATCGCTGCAGGCAACAGTAAATGAGTTAAAAATCATCATTTTTGTGCTCAATTATCTCACTGTTTTAGTATATACTAAAACAATTATTCACCTCAGTGTTGCTGACTAGTGGTAGCTATCTACCGAGGCCGGCGATGCACATAACCACCACTGGCCACCGACACTGAGGTGAATAATTGTTATTTAGCTTTATTCATTTATACAATATATTTCTTGTCAAAGCTTTGGATTTTTTTCTTTCATTCCCAAGGGGACCTGTTGAGCCAGACGCGCTAAGTCTGTTGATGGATTTGCCGTTTTATTTAGACTCAGTTATTTTGATAATAGTGACTTGCAATTGTTTGCCATTTTCATATTCGAGGTCGAGTTTTCGGACACATTTCATGACAAGTGCTGAAAATAGCGTTTCGGAGCCTCCAAATTTGAAAATGTTCTGGGGGAGAGTACCCCCAGACCCCCCTACAAANAAAAAAAAAAAAAAAAAAAAAACCTCGCTACGGCCCTGTAATCACGAGAGACTCAAACCAAGGCACACGACTAAAATTATCTTTCGTGTTCATTTACACCATTTTAACATTGATAGAATAATAAAGTACAGTCAGATATTCTGGGGCTGTGTTATTCACAATGCTACGCATCATTATTACTTTACTAACTACGCGCTGATGGACAAGTTTCGACCACTTTAAATTTTCAAATAATTCACTAGTACTGCAGTCATGATTAGAGAAAGTTAGAACGCGAGCGACGTGATTCTGCAATTTCTACAATTTCTGCAATTTAGAAGATAGGTTCTTGGAACAGTTTCCCCATACTACATTGCACTAATCAAAGTGTGGCTGTACCAGTGAATTGTATACGTTAAGTAGAATCTCAAAAGGGAGAAAATACCTAATACGCTTAATCGCACTTATGCCAGAAGCAATCTCCTTTGAAATTTCGTTAATATGACACTCACAAGAAAGATTTCCATCGATGTAAACACCTGGGGATTTTGAAGTCGGCACTTGTTTAATCGGAAACTGGTTAATTTCAATTATGGGATTCCTTTCTAGCGTTGACATATAGGTGATACTAGTGTCGTCAGCATACATTCTAGGTTGTGAATGCATGAGGCAATTCGGAAGGTCATTTATATATATATTGTGAAAACAAAAGAGGCCTTCAAATCGTTCCCTGCGGGACACAACAGGGTAGGTACGTTTCAGATGACTTGTTGGCGTAATTATAAGTTTGGTTATTAAGGTGCGGAAACTTTTGTCGATTTTTGGATATAAATGTGATAATTAGACTTTCGATTTACAGTTGGAAGTGTCACTTTCTATATGTGTGGTACAGGACTCTCCTTTACAAACATTTTGCAGTCAATAGGAATTTAAAATAAGCAACTTTTCAAACGCTCTGGCTCCAAAATGAGCATCATGCATTTTTAGGTCAAATTAGGCTTGAAATCCCACTAGCCAGCACAATTAACTCTAAATATATACTACCTTTCCCATTTGGCATCGGAACGAAATAAGAGTATGATTTGCCTCACTGCTATGTTAACTGAACACTATTTTTTAATGGCATTTTCGTAGATGGGAAAAAAATGGCACATAAAAAGAATAAAAACGAGTTTTACGACTTTCAGGAAAAGGTATGGTTTAGTTAAACACTATGCTTTGCCCAAGCAAGTTAGTTCTCTAACAAAACAGATGATTCGAGAAAGCTGTTCACAATTATTATAAAAAAAGGCTTCAGTGTGGGTTAAGTGTCAATTACGCATGCTAAAAATTAAAAGTGTAGGAAACACAAGCAACATTTTTGTGTGGAATCTAGAAAGATTACAAAAAGTTACACAAGTAACAATAACGGAATGAAAGTTTGAAGTGCGTAGTTCTTAGCAACAGTTAAAGAAACTTAATTATCATTAAAGGGGAACGTCTTGTAAAAGTTCACGATTTAGACTGTGATGCTATCCGTATGCTTCAGCAAATATTTTCAGAAATTCTAAATGCATAAAATATATCAATACAAGAGAGTAAATGCAATTTGCAATCGACGGTATTTTTGGAAGAGAAATAACTTTCTTCTGTAAAATGCAAAATTTTTTTTGTGTAACTTGAGGCCCTATTATTTGCAAACCTGGCATCGAATCTCATGACTAATATTTAATACACCTGCTAATTTTTATTCACGTTCCTTAAAAATTGAGCCCATCCTCGATATATAATTTTGAAAAACAAAACAAAGCATATGAGACTTTAAAATGCACCTCCATTCACTTACCAATAGTAACCATCTGCAGCATTGAATTTGCCTTTCATTCAAAATAGGATTTTTTTTTCTAGAACTGAACAAAGAAAAAAATAACAATTGATTCTGAATTTATTAGGGGTACTGAATATCCTAAAATTTAGGATAAAGAGTAGAAAATATTGATACAACGTTAAGCACTCCTTTGAAAATTTTGTTCTGTTCTATTTTCCATTTTCGGCACAATTTTTTGTTGATTCAAAAAGTTGCTTTATTAAAAAGGAAAACTGATATTACTGAGCAGGGGCACACCTGGCTGCAGTCGATCGGGAGCGAAATAACCGGTTGTCGAAGTGTTTATTTTGAAAATTTAGTTTAGAAAGCCAATTTTGATGATCAATTTACTCTGCTGTATGAATCTGATACTCTACAACTTATGCATTTTACTAATGGCAACATTTTGCATTGTGTTTGTTATTAAATATTAATTAATATCAAATTGTCACCGTTGAAACACTGTTTAAGACGAATTCCGTTATCAGGGACACCCCTTACTCTTCATGAACGCATCCATCAACTACTTCGGGGAAAAAGGTTCAAGATACTCACTACCGCCGCCGCGACTCCTAGAAACTGGTGAGAAATCGCTTTCTTCCTTTTTTTTTAGCCTTTTTTTTTTTCTCTTATCGAGCTAGAGCGAATCTGCATCATCATAGTGTCCAAGAGGAGGACAGCATCTACATCGTCGTTGTTTCTGTTCTCTATTGCAACTTCATCAATAGTTTTTTAATTATCTCAATAAACTCGCTGTCCAACAGAAAAGACGTATTGAGTTTCCAGAAATCCGGCCTCGGGGGTTATTATTACTAGCAAGGTGGGTTGTAATTAGGGAATGATCGATCTTATAACCCTGTAAAATTTCTGCATTTGTGATTGCTGTGGTTAAGCTTGAACTGATCATAAATAGTCGAGACGACAGTGCACTTCAGGTTTAGTTGTCCGCCAGGTAAAAACGCTTACCGTCTGGATTTAGAGTTCGCCACACATCTATTATGTAAAGCGAGTTCGCTATGTTCTGGACTTCTTTAAGCGAATTTCTATGCGTTGTTGCGTTTCTTCCTTTTTTATCCCTCTGAACGTCCATGACCAGAGTAAAATCGCCCCCCATAATAATTTTTTCACATTCAAAAGAGAAGAGATGATCGACAACATTTTGGAAAAAAGTAGGATTGTCGTTGTTCGGTGCATAAATGTTAACCAAAGTTAATACCTTGTTGCCTGTTTTCATATCTATGATAATAAATCTTCCTTCTTGATCAGAGTATTGCCTGATTATTTCAGATTGAAAGTTACTGTTAAATAGTACACAGTCTCCGGCGCTTATCTTAACTGAACACTATTTTTTAATGGCATTTTGATGGATGGTAAAAATGGCACATAAAAAGAATGAAAACGAATTTTACGACTTTTAGGAAAAGGTGTGTTTTAGTAAAACACTATGCTTTGCTCAAGCAAGTTAGTTCTCTAACAAAACAGATGACTCGAGAAAGCTGTTCACAATAATATTATAACAAAAGGCTTCAGTGTGGGTTGAGTCAATTACGCATGCTAAAAAATTTAAAGACTGAGAAACCCAAACAACATTTTTGTGTGGAGTCCAGAGA